TTCATAAAGAAGGCATTCAGATTCGCTCTCTCCCCTCTAAGTTTCTCTTTGTTAAGCTTTCTCTACAGCGATTGGCCACTTCCCGGTGGCCTGCCTGTCAAAGGTGATGTAGAAGGTGCGAGTGTGGTGTTGTGACGCCTGTCCTCATCTATATCACTTTGCAGACGGACGGCTTAGTAATCTGACCTGGGGCCATGGCAGAGAATTTTAAGGCGTTTTGGGAGGCAATCAAGAATCATTGATGAGAAGTGAACAGCTCTGTTAATACTACATATCTGACCCTGATGTGCCCACAGGAAGCAGAAGATGATGTTCAAGAGAGATCAAAGGGCTGTAGCTCTGTGTTAGGTGAAGGGTGAGAGACATGAATATGTAATTAGCCTGCAGGCATTCTCATCTGTCCTGCTGTTACAGCACATAGGCCTTCATCTCGATTGGTCGTTCTTTCTAGCAGAGCATCTGTCACTCTGGCCTGCGTGCTGGAGGAACTCAGCTTTCACTTATTTGCCCCAATGCTCACATGTGATTTGGAGTGAGGCAGTCAAGTACCTTAAAAGGATATTGTGACTGCCATATGGTATTATATTGAATTGTATTGTATTATATTATATTTTACACTAATGTTTGAAGGTTGGGTGTTGGTAAGATTTTTTTACGTTTCTGAAAGAAGTCTCACTAAGGCTGCATTTATTTGATCAAAAATGCAGTAAAAACAGTAAAATTGTAAAATATTATTACAGTTTAAAATAATTGTTTTCTATTTTAATATATTTTAAAATGTAATTAATTCCTCTGATGAAAATTTCCTTCAGAAATTATTCTAATATGCTGATTTGCTGATCAAGGAATTATTATTATTATTATTGTTGCTTAATATTTTTGTGGAAACTGATACATTTTTTGCACGATTCTATGATGAGTAGAAAGTAAAAAGAAAAAAAATCTGCAATTTATTTGAAGTATAAATCTTGTGTGTGTGTGTGTGTGTGTGTGTGTTAAAAAGTATTAAAACAGCATGAAAAACATAAAAAAAAACCCGATTAAAACAGTATAAAATAAGATCAAAGTCTGCATGTTGTTTAAAAAATATTTTAAAATATATAATTGTTTATTTAACTGTATGTTTATTTGTTTTTCTTTCGTAATGTTTAAAACTAGGGCTGTGTTTAGAAAGCAGAATGAACCAGTAATATTATAAAATTTGGTAAATATCTTAAAATGTTGTGTTAAACAATATCTCAATTTAACACATTAACTTTGACAGCCCTAAATATGAATTAAGGTTAGCGTTAGGGTTAGTTTTCCACAGACATTTTTTGTGTGAGCAGCAGATTGAAATTTTTTTTTTACTGAAAATCTTAAATTCGTGTTTTGAATATGTGCAAGCGTGAATAAGATTTGATGTTTGGAGCAATGTTAGGGGGGACTACATGATGACAGACTTTTGATGTTTGAGTGAACTATCCCTTTAACTCAAATCTGTCAGATCAGCACTCTTGTAAATCTTGTAAAGATTCCCTTATGCGAGGCTTTCAAAGCATAGAGAAGGGGCCAGGCATCAAGGGTTTTGAAGTGTTTCTTTTATACCTGCCTTAGCATTTGCTGATGTTGTCCTTCTTACACGAATGCTAATACAGCGCTGAAGCATAACAATGAGTCTCAACAAATGAGTCAGTGCCTCAGAGTCAGTCCGAATTAGAGGAGTGCAACAGATGAATGTATAGCTGCCGGTTTTATCTTCCTCTCTGGAAGGAATCGGTCTGACAAGTCATTTATTTACATGAGAGTTTCCAGTGTACCTTGCCCACTTCCCACCTCTTCTGGGTTGTAAATCAGAGTGCATCTGAAAAGCTGAACAGTCCCAGTGGAACCACATTGATGGTCTAGAAATATAGTCCAGTGTGCATTTGCATTAGTAGGCCTGCCTCTGGTGGGTAATTGATTGACTTTTTTGTTAAAGCCCAATGTATTAATTGCGGCCCTACTGACACACTGACCTTAATGGATGTGGCTGCCGTCACCTCAGGCGTTAAAGCCCTTTCCATCTGGCCCCCAAATAGGCTCGGGACAATCCACGTCATGTGACGTGTCATTCCCTATCCCTTTAAATTAGCGAAACCATCAATGGAGACATTGTGGCCTTATTTGTTTAAAAGTCAGGGAAGAATTTATTATTGATTCGTTTTGCCTGTCACAAGGTCTCGTGATAATGCGAAATGCTTTTTTTTTTTCACTATAGATAAAGATATTGAACTCACCGTGCACTTTTCCTTTTTAAAAAGTGTTCTTATTGTATGTGGCAGTGTTTTCTATTAAAAATGAATCGTTATCATCTATCGTATCAATTGTGAGTCATTAACTGAAAGGAAGCTGAAATATACATACATACATATAAGATGAAAAACTTAAAGTTAATAAAAGTGTAATACAATTTATTTATTATTAAAAAAAATTGTTTATTACCAAAATTACCAAAACTTAAATATACATAAATTAAAGCTAAATATAAATATTAGAAAAACTACATACAAATGAATACAACTGACAAAAGCATATCAAATTGTTAAAACTTCACCTGAAATGAAAATTAAAATGTACAAGATTAAAATAAATGCTCATTCAAAAAGGATTTTCTTACTCTGTAATTTTATCTTTTTTTCCAGTACAAATATCTAGACATTTTAATTCAAGATCGGTAAGCAAAATTACATCAGATATTTAGTTTTGTTTTCTGAAAAAATTTATCAAAATGTATTGTTTTTCCTTTTAATGAAGTTTATTTTTACCCTATTGGCAGAGATTGTTTCTTGTTTTAAGCATAAACTCACTTAATTTTGATAAATTTTTTTCAAAAAACAAGTCTTAATTGTTTTTGTTTTTCAGGTAAATGTATATTGATGTAAGAAAGTTCAGATATTTGTAGTGGAAAGTTATTTGTACTGGAAAGTAATTTTTACTGGAAAGTAAAAGTTATTTTTGTACACTGTAAAATGATTTTTCAAGGTAGTAAATAAAACAGAAGATAATTGCTGCACATTTAACAATAGTGTATTTTACTATTTCAGTTTTTCTACCTCAAAATGTTATGTTTAATTCAATGTGTTACTTGCCATTTCTTTGTAATTATGAAATTTACTATTAACTTCTGAGTGAAAATTGTTTCTGTGCTGAATGTTTTGCAGTGCATATAAATACATACTAAAATAACACTGGTATGTGGCACACACTGTAGTGTCACATTCATAAGTGCTGTTTAATGGCCTCTGTATACAGTCTGGCAGTAACAGACAATAGAGGGGCCGTATTAACACATCTCTTGGGACATTTCCACAGATGGTCCTTTTGGATTCTTTTTATGTAAATAACAGCACTGTGCAGTTGGACACAATGACACACACACACCTCCCCCTACGGCTGTCAGTGCGATCAGCAGTCACTTCCATTATTTACCATGTGAATATTTCATGGTGACATCAGTGTTCTGGACGGCCCATGCTGCCAGAGGGGCCCCGCTTAATGAGGCACGACGCCCCTCTCAGCTGGTCGCCTCACAGCCGGGATAAATCTCATGTCTTCTTTTTTTCTTCTTTATGTCCCACCACAGCGTCTTTCTCTCGGCTCCTTTTCGGCGATGTTGTAAGCAGTTCACAGCTAGGGTACATAATTAACCTTCATCCTAGTTAAAAAAGGGCAAAGAGCCCAGATTAGGGCACTCCGCCAGTCAGACAGAAAGTCGATGTTTAGTGGTGCTTGCTAAGGTGTGACTCACTACTACTGGTGTGCAGACTTAAAGTGAGGGATTTGAACAAACCACCAATCCTGAGCATTAGACTTAAGTGAGTAATCATGCACCGTTTGTGCCACAGACATGAATAGCACCCATTTTTTGTCCCATTGATTTAATTTAGTCAAATATACCTTAAAATGTGCAATTCATGCATGTAATAATAAGCCTCTTCTATTATGAGCATGTTTTTAATTTATGTATTAAAATTCATTCAGATATATATTATTGAGCTGTAAAATAAAATGTTGGCATGATTCAACTGTCTTGGTATCATAATGAAGAAAAAAGTTATTGACATCTTTAGAAAGAAAGAAGTTTGTCATAATGTTTTATTATTATTATTTAGTACGTATATATATATATATATATATATATATATATATGAACAGAGTGTGGTGTGACTAGCCATTGTTATTTAGATATTATTTATGTACTCTTTATTAATATTTTGAATTTGCTTTTGTTTTTTATTTTTCATTTTTCATTTTATTTAAATTTTAGTAATTTTTGTTATGTGATTTTATAATTCTTTAACATAATTCTTACTCTTTTTCGTTCTACTTTTTATGTCTGTTTAAACTTAATTTTTAAATGTTCTATTATTTGTATTTTGTATCTCTATCTGAACTATTTTTTTTTTCTATTTAAACTTTTAAAGCTTCAACTTTTTTCAGTTTGTTGCCAAGGCAACATTTCTAATTTCCATTAAAGTTTTTATCTAATATTTATATTTTATTTCAGCTTTAATTTAATGAGAATTCTTTTTAATACTTTTAGTTTTCGTTAACAATAACAACACTGTAACCATGTAGAAAAAACAAGCAGAAAATGACATAGAAAGAAAAGTTTCTTAAATATCAGACAATTTGACCTTTTTATGACTAGGCAAGGTTAGTTCAGGTTGGGAAATGCCATGTGTGACAAAAAAATAAATAAATAAAAATATATGTTTTAAAACCTTTTTGAAAATGATGATAAAGCTGCATACACTCATGTATTCAAAGAAAATATTATTACTTTTTACTTGATGATTAGACTCGCCACTCATGTTTTCTTCAGAAAATCTAGTTTCCTCTTGCAATTTGTTTTCAGATGCTTTTACTCTGACTCTGCTGTTTATAACAACCCTGAACTGAATCAGTTATTTGTATCTGATTTGTTCTGTGCTGCTCAGTGAAGCTGTAAATACAACTTTCTTTTCTTCTGCTTGCAGTGAGGGGGTCTTCAAGTGCCCAGAGGACCAGCTCCCACTGGATTACGCCAAGGTAATAATGCACTAATCTCTCATCCATTCTGTTGTAGACCAGATTACAGATCAATATCCCACAGTTATGTACATCCCAGTGGAGTTACAGGGGCCTCGCTCTGTGCCTTTATTCGCAGTACAACTTTTCTCGAGTGGCTCTGCAAGAGTGAATGAAATGCTAATGTGTCAACAATAGCAGGCTATGTTTGTGATTCACTGACTGCCCCGGGCGCTCGCCCATCGTCCACGCTTCTCAAAACACCCGAGTAATCACACTAATGAACTACCACAGGCCACTCATTTCCCTGGGACTGTCGAAAGGAAGGAAGGAAGGAAGAAAGAGACGGAGATGACACATAGATAAATTCAGAATATGACAGAATATATTTAATGCTGCTTTAATGCGGCAGTGTGGTCTTTCTGCACCACTAAAAGGAACATTTATAAATATATAAATAATACAAGTATATATCTAAACATTATTCCTTTTAACTCAATTTATACCAGAAATTATTTAGCAGTATTTATATTATGTAAACTGCCATTAATACAGTAATTTACCTGCCAAATGGTACATAATGGGACATTAAATGAGCATAAAGTAAAATATGAAATGTCCATAAATCTATAAAATGTATTCTGAAACTGAAATAAACAGAAAAAATAAAGATCTAAAAATATTAGATGTGTGTGTGTGTTATTATTATATATATATATATATATATATATATATAAAATAAACTATATAATTATTATTATTATTTAAAATTTAAATTGCCATTAATAAAGTAATTTAAATAATAAAAGTATATATCTTAAAAGTCCTAAATTGTTTGGAAATAGTTTTGCTTTGAACTCATGTAAAATCGTTTAGCATAATTATTAATATTAAATTGCTTAATTAATACAGTAATTTACATGGCAAGTAGTACATCATGGGACATCAAATGTGCGTGAAGTAAAAAATAAAGTGTCTATAAAGTTCCTGAACTGAAAAGAGCAGGGAAAAAATGTGGTTAGTTTATAAAAGAGCGTTTAAAAGTGATTAAGGGTTACTCTCTTCATGAAGGTGTTAAATATTAATACAGTAGCCTCCTCCTCCGCCTCGCAAAATATTTCAGTTAGGCAATTATACTCTGCGGTTTAACTAATCTGCACCATGCCACATTAAAGAAGGAATTTCACCAAATCTTTAATTAAAGTATTGGCTAATTTTTCATCTTGCTCTTTAGTTAATTAATCAGGTTGAGCTGGGAAAAATGCCATAAGTGTCGGCGTTTATTAAAGAGTAATTTTTCTCACTGCCCTAGAGAGTGAGATTATGAAACCTCTGAGCGCTCAGAAGACGATGAGCATACCTTCAGTTTAACAAGAGTTAAACTGTTAAAGCTACTCTAAACTATCGTATGGCGTAACACAGAATAATTTGCACAATCGAAAAAAAAATAAAAAAATCTCGGATTTGGATCGGCCCTCTCTGACCGATACCCGATCTGAGAAAAATGTCACTATCGGAGCCGATACCCGATATGAATATCGGATCGGCGCATCCCTACTCTAAATGAGTGATTTTTTTTTAAATGGTGGGATGAGACCTAAAAATTATCTGCAAGTAATAGAATGCAACTATGTAATCATACATAATTGTACAGAAAATGAAATATTATATGTTCAATCAAACTCTATTATTTTTTTGGCATAAAATCATCTCCCAATTATCCAAATTTCAGCCCTATTACTGTGTTCTTTTAAAAAAAAAACTATTCTAACATCTGAGTCATCTTCTCCTGCAGTGTGTTTGACACGCTTCTGTAAGAGCACATGCACAAAGTTAAACCTGTTCTGTGTTGGAAAGAGCTTTAGCGCACTAATCTGTTGAAACTGTGATTTGCATGAAGTCGGCGGGATAACTCTACTCATCCTGGAAATCCTGGAGTGCCGCAGGAGGAGCTCTGATGCTCATGAGTCCAGAAAACACACAATTATTGCACAAGCAGTCATTTTTAAGGATCTGACAGCCGCCCACAGATTACCCATCCACCTCTGCAGGGCTGCTGTTCAGTACCTGTCTTTGCCTGTTTGAGACATCTCATGTCTCATTTAGTATATACACCTTCTCTGTCAGAATTTGTGGGTTAGCACAAAGTTCGTGGGTTAGCACAATTTCTATTTTGAAAAAAATTAATACTTTTATGCATTAAAGTATGCATTAAAATTGATCAAAAGTGACAGTAAAGACATTTATAATGTTGCAAAAGATTTCTGTTTAAAATAAATTTGGTTCTTTTGAACTTTCTATTTCTCAAAGAATCCTGATGCATCACAGTTTCCACAAAAAATATGAAGCAGCACAACTGTTTTCAATATCGATGATTATAAGAAATGTTTCTTGAGCAGCAAATCAGCATATTAGAATGATTTCTGAAGGACACTGAAGACTAGAGTAATGATGCTGAAAATTCAGTTTTACCATCATAGGAATAATATAAAATCATAGGAATGATGATAGAGAGAGTAATGATGCTGAAAATTCAGTTTTACCATCATAGGAATAATATAAAAAAATATTAAATGAATTATTATAATAATATCACCACTTATAAGAAAACTGACACAAAATAGAATAGAATACAAAATAAAATGGAATAAATGTTTTTTTTTTTTACATTTTATTATTACAATATTGCGTTTGCATTTAGGTGTTTCCATGCAGAATTTATATGCAACATTCCAAAATATGACCCTGGACCACAAAACCAGTCTTAAGGGTCAATTTTTCTAAATTGAGATTTATACATAATTTATACAAATAAGCTTTCCATTGATGTATGGTTTGTTTGGATAGGACAAAATTTGGCCGAGATACAACTATTTGAATATCTGGAATCTGACGGTGCAAAAAATCAAAATATTGAGAAAATCGCCTTTAAAGTTGTCCAAATGAAGTTCTTAGCAATGCATATTACTAATCAAAAAATAAGTTTCAATATGTTTACAGTAGGAGATTTATAAAAATATCTTCATGGAACATTATCTTTACTTAATATCCTAATGATTTTTGGCATAAAAGAAAAATCAATAATTTTGACCCATACAATGTATTTTTGGCTATTGCTACAAATATACCCCAGCGACTTAAGACTGGTTTTGTGGTCCAGGGTCACAAATGTGCATAAAATTATGTGTATTTGGAACCCCATTATTGACAATGATTAACAGTGGCAAAGCTGATCAGCATGAGTTGTTATTCTTGTTATTGTTGAAGTGCAGTCACTGATCTGCCGCTGATAAAGTTGGACATTGCAGTCAAGTAGGGACGCCAACTTGCAACCATCCAATTTTATATCGCCTGCTTAAACGCGATGTTGTATTTTTAGTTCTTTATATAATTTGTTGTGTTTTTTTTTCATCTACAAATCTTCCATAAATGTTCAGCCGTCGTGTGTAAGGCAGGATGGCACAGTTGGGAGAGTTTATCTTAGTGTGCCAGAAAATCTGTCAATGAAAATGAATTTGTATGTGTGTGATTGGGAGGGCGAGGGGGACGGCTCCATATGGGACTACATGGGTGGCGAACGGCCGCGTCTGCAGTGCTGTCGTAACGCTGCAGATCTGTGTGTACAGTATGTAAATCTTGCAGGCAGGGGATTTGGGCTGATTGGATGGAGGAGCGTCTCATCCTTCATAGACTTTATGGATGAAGAGAAGATGCAGTAGCCTCTGGATCTATCGTACACACACAGACTCACGTGTACGCACTCGTTTCACGGGGCTCTAGTTGAGATCATCCATCACCGTGCAATTGAATTTGATTGTGCAGCAGTGTATTTGTGTTTTGAACAAAACATTTTTTTCCCAGTCTTTCAAAAATTAATTTTACAGTTTTTTCACGGTTTTGCGTTTTTTTTTTTTTACTAACAATATAAAAAGCATTAACATGCAACTGACTATGAATTACTGCATTTTAAACTTTAAAAAAAATTAAATCAATTTATAGGCTATATGACAGATGGTCATCTTTCTATGTAAATTACGCTGATTATAGATGATTACATATTAAATGTAATTTAAAAGAGATGTTTGTGTACATTTTCTATTGATTATGGCTGCAGTGGTTCATCAAATTGTGATTAACTGATGGTATTATAACATTATAACCAGATGTATGTGTTGAATTTAGATGTTTTAGAAACAATTCAGGTATGTGGATTGCAGTATAGTACTTAGAACCAACCATATCAGGAATTGCATTGTGAAAACAACATTCATCACAGGTTTTGTGGGTGTGTTTGCATCATTACCTAATTTGCATCATTTTTAATACTGAATCAGGTGCTAAAGCAATTGAAACAATTCATTATTTGTAAATTTCCCCCACCGTGTCAGTATTGAACATGAACATGTATCTAACTTAAAATATATATATTATTACTATTATTATTAATTTGCATTTTGGTTTATGTGCAGAATTTCTATGTAATACCCCAAAATCTGCATAAAAATATATGTATTTGGAACACTATACTACTATTGACAACTGTCAGTATTGACTCAAATTGTCTGTCAGAACTGCAAGATATCACTGAAAATGATGCAATTAAACATTTTGGTGTGAAATGTTATGAAAAACTCAACCAAGTTACACAATTATTATGTTTTATGGTCAATCATTGCTGTCATTTCCGAGTACTTGAACACTCACATCCATCTTTATGAATGACGTGACTTTACAGTAATTATATCACCAGACAATCTGCTTTTAGCGTGGGAGAAACCATAAGCGTATACTCTGTCTGAGTTAATAAGTGAACGTTTAAATCCAGACCTCTGTCCTGTCCTTGAGTGGTTAATATATGAGTGTGTTTGAAGAGAGGAGACAGCGTTGATTAATGTGTCCTTGGTGTTATGGTGTGTTATAGATCTATCCTGACCCTGAGCTGGAGCAGCAGATACTGGCACTGCCCATCCGCTGTATTCACAGTGAAGAGGGCTGCCGCTGGACCGGCCAGATGAAACAGCTACAGGTAATGATGCTTTCAGCTTTTATCATTTCTCTGATGCTTTTTAAAAATAGTAGACTCCAATGTAGCTATAGCAGAATTGTCTGCTAGCTAGCATGGTTGTCTCTCTATGTGATTTGTTTGAAGGGATAGTTCACCCAAAAATTAAAATTTTGTCATTTACTCTCCCTCATGTCGTTCCAAAACCTATATGACTTACTTTCTTCTGTTGAGCACAAAAGACGATATTTTGAAGAATGCTGGTAACCAGACAGTTGACGGTAGCCATTGACTTCCACAGTATGGAAGAAATACTATGGAAGTCAATGGGTACCAGCAACTGTTTTGGGTGAACTAGGTAAATCTGGCCTAGAACGGGAACTATGTCACCATAAATATATACTACAAAGCATACTTGTCTGTTTCTTTCCCAGAGCCACTTCTCAACCTGCGCCTTCAATGTGATTCCCTGCCCCAACCGCTGCTCCGTCAAGCTGACGCGCAGAGACCTGCCCGAGCACCTGCAGCACGACTGTCCCAAACGCAAGGTCAAGTGCGAGTTCTGTGGGAGCGAGTTCACAGGAGAGGCCTATGAGGTACTGCGGTCAAATCACGTCCAAGACAGGTTGTTATAGAGCGCTGCAGGAATGAGTCTTTAAATCACAAAACGAATTAGCATTGAAGTCAATGGGGTTTTGGTTAAATGCTGAAATAAGGTGTGTTCAACACAAGCTCAAGATATTTTCATGTTTTATTCTACAACATAAATACTATTCTATTTTTTAGCTATAAAATAAATTCAGTAATACCCCACGTGAAATGTTAAGCTTTTGTGTGTCTTGAAAAAGACACTTGCTAATTTGCTAACAAGTGGCTAAATGGGACAACATTGGCTGTCACAACTCATTATGTTTATACTCGCGCACTTGCAAACTATTCTAACTGAAACTTTCCATCTTGTAGATTTTAAATAAAATCTGAAAGTTTGTTGGAAGCCTTCACGGCCTAGCTTTCACCTTGTGATTTTATTTAGGCGCTTATAAAAGTTGTATTCATTTCTGAAGATTGTCTTGATGAACAAAATGTGTAAGAATCATAAACTTTTGTTGGACACAAGAGCTTCTTTTCTGCCAATGGAAAAATCTAATTGGCTTTTTGTTGAGGGAACCTGTTAACGTCATCCTGTAGCACTCTATTGTTTGGAATATTAGCCTTTTGGATGCATTAGCATATTAGCAAAGAAGTATTAGCTTTCTTATTTGATTATTGTCGGTTTGTGCTCTATAATAAGGATTTCTACACAAAGAAAGAGGCTTGTGTGCTTCTCCATGTGGTGCAATTCTGAAATGTGTGAATTCGTTATTAGCAAATTGGCAGCTTGATCTTGTAGTAGCACAAGATCAAGCTCGTTTGCTAATATAGTGGCACTTCTATATTTATAATATAAACCTCCCAATGTATAAAAGAGATGATTAAGCCTTGTTATTGCATTTTATGGGAATATTTCTTTTGTGTTTTGTGGGTAGGCTGTAAAATTGCACTAAATTGTTGCAGTTTATGATTAAAGAACCATTTTATTTTGAATTTTCTGCTTTATAGCAAGTGGTCTTTTTACGTCATGAAAGTGCTTGCGAGGCAAATATGATATTACACAAACATTCTAGTTACAGCTGGAATACAGTACATGACTTTTGCCCTAATTTGCAGTCTGGGCGAGTTGACGCTTGTTGCCAAAAATCAGAGCCAGTCTGCAGATTTTGGGCAGTCAGAATTGACAGATTTAATAGAAAATCGCATAGTAAATGATGGTCACAGATTCCAATTTTTTTTTTCTTTAACCTTCAGACTTTGATTACGTCCAGTCAGAAGATTCCAGTAAACAGTTCTTAAAAGAATCATTTTTCTTAGTGTGAAGAACTTTTTAATAATCTAAAGAACATTTTTCCACTATAAAGAACCTTTTGCACAATGAAGAGATTCCATGAATATTTGAGGTTCTTCATAGAGGCATAGATGGCGATAATTTTACAATCTATAGCCCCCTCTACACTGTAAAGGCTGTGTCAGGATGATGGCTGATGGTTCAGTAGACAAAAAAAAAAAGATTTGGACAACAACAACAAAGCAAATCTGATGCTGCTAATTCAGTTATGCAGAACCTAAACTATAATGCTGTTCTTTTCCTGCTTTGCAAGCAGTAGTTTTATCTTCAGGAAATGCAAATCTAGTTTCTTTCCTCTGACATCTCCATCTCCTTTCGTGTCCCTCAGAACCACCAGGGCATCTGTCCGCAGGAGAGCGTGTACTGCGAGAACAAGTGTGGGGCAAGAATGATGAGGAGACTATTATCCCAGCACACCATGACAGAATGCCCCAAACGCACGCAGCCCTGCAAGTACTGTGGCAAAGAGTTCGTCTACGACACCATCCAGGTGAGTGACACGGCACAGCAAACCTCTACACCCAAATCATTCAGCGCTCTGACTTCAGCTGTGGCCCTGCATCTGTACGACAGAAAAATGGATGCAAATAGTGTTGGTTGTTGATATTTCTATGCGCACGTCCAGCGCCGAGTGTGAATGGAACAGTAGCCGCTCAGTTGTGAATTAAAGGGGTTTTGAGGCTGCACAGGGTGGGATGGCAGTGGGCCTGTGACTACATAAACACTGGCTTTCATACTAAATTCTGGGTTTGGTGCCAACCACAGCTTGGGCTGGCCTAGCTTCTTTTTATAACACCTGCGTTCACACATATAGAGGTATACATCCTGAAAACACTGTGAGATTCAGCTGCCTGGCTAATGGACACACCAGCTCTGTTCCGAAGCCTAGTGCGCTGCCTCGCTACATCTGTCATGGAACCTCATAAGTGACCAATTTGAAGCGCTCTGCAAGAGAGACTAGACTTGTTGTTTATTTCAGTGGATTCTGATGTTAGTATGTCTCTAAGCTAACAGATTGATAGCCTACTAATGCAGAAAACACTCATATTTTGCTAAATAAGCTATTTTTAATTACACTGAATAGGGCTGCAAGATTAATCCAAATAAAACCATGATTGCAATGTGATTATTAGATCTCAACTGTTGCGATTTATTTAAATAAATCAGAGTGAAACACGGCTCTGTGTTTGTTTACATGCGAGCAGCTCATGATCCTGTGTTTTCAGTGTCTCAGCGCAGCTCGGTTCGCAGTAAATGCTGCTCCGCATGAACTCTTTGCATCTGCTCTAAGTTTGGGTCACTTATAACGGGCATTTGGAAACGCAACATGCACAAACCATTTTTCCAAACTTGTAATGAGAAAAAGCGCTTACAAACTTGACCATTGTTAACAGAAGAGGAGCTGTAACATTTCTTTGAGTTTTTATTTATTTATTTTGACAACATAAAAGCTCAATGGTTTAACGTTTGAAAATGCAGAAATTAAGAGAGCCATAAAATATTACTGTTGTAATTTTGGAGTTGTACTGTAAAATAAAATAATAATTATTATTATTATTAAATTCATTTTCTTAAGTATTTTTTGATTTTACAGTGAAATATTATAATATTTTATTAATAAATGAGTTACTTTTTTTTTGTTTAGTAATATTATATTATCACAAAATTTTGATCCAAATTGGAGCTGGAGGGTTTTTTTTTTTCCCCACAATCAAATTTTTTTCCTGAAAAGTGTAGTTCGCAATTGCGAAAACACAATTTTTTCCCCAAATTGTGCAGCTTTAACAGTGAACTAAATTCATTGACACGCTTCAGTATTAATTTCAAAATATTTTTGTTTGCATTTATCATTTATGTTTACATTTCTTTATTTTAATTAATTATGAGCACAATTGTATTTCTTTGTATGCATACAATAGCCTTACAATTTGGTTAAAACGAGAGATCTTAAGAGGGAGCATAATTAAGTGGCCTACCTTTGAACAGCCTTCGTGTTGTGAACGCCTATGATACCTTAAAATATTGTCTTCGTAGGCACCCGTAGGTTTTGAAACTGGTTTAATTTCCTCATACACAGGATTCACATTTCGTGTGCTTTTTGATGCATCATTTCCTATATTATGACTAATATTTGACTTACGCTTTAATCCAAAGCCTAAATATTTATCAGTATGTGTTTCCTGGGAACTGAACCCATGACTTTGGTGTTGCTAGTGTCACGCTCCAGCAGTTGAGCTACAGGAACACGAGCGCAGCGATTCTTATAGATGATCTCATGATGATTTCATGAATTCATGCATATTTTAGTTCTCACGCCTCGATGCTCAAGCTGTTATTGCTCAAGAAATCACAGCTCAACCTACAGATTCACGTCAATGCTGACTGTTGCCTTTCATCCCCCAGAACCACCAGTACCACTGCCCTCGCTTTCCCGTGCAGTGTCCTAATCAATGCGGCACCCCGAACATCGCACGTGAGGATCTGGCCAACCACGTGAAGGAGAGCTGTGGCAGCGCGCTGGTCCTTTGCCCCTTCAAGGAGGCTGGCTGCAAACACAGAGTGAGTCCTGTTCTGTAACTTCACTGAATTCCCCTGCTCCCGATGCAGTTTTCCTTCCTCCACACCTGTAAAAATTGTGTCTGTGTCAGTAAAAAATTTATTTGAAGCTTATAGTAGAAAACTATTTTTAAGGATAGGATGTCTGCTATGAGATTTCATCTTTTCTAGTTTTTGAGATCAAGGGAGTTTGGGGAACTAAGTTTTATGCATTTTGCAGGCAGCACTGTCAACAACTTTATGTGACATGTTTCCGGTCTCTTGTCTTCTTTACTTGCAGTGTATAGACCTGAGAGTTTAGAGGAATAGCAGTGCTACTTAAAAATAAAAGAAATTATTAATTTATTATATTAAAAAATAATAAAAATGTCACTTTTAAATGAACAAATAAATCAACATTTTAAACATGTTAAATTCATCATGTTTAAAAACTTCGTAAAATAATTAATACTTCATTAATTTATTTACATTTTTACTTTTTAACTAATACATCGAAAAATGTAAGTAAATGTAACAATAAAATAAATTATAAATCACTTTTTAAATTATCAAATAAATAGACATAGGACAACTGTTTATATAATTAATGTTTAAAAATGTAGTTAAATGTAACAGTAAAATAATTTTATAAAATTATAAAAACAGTAAAATATTAATGAATCACTTTTCAAATTGACAAATAAATGATAATAAATTTAATAATAAAATTATTAAAATGGTTTATTTAATAATCAGAAGGTATTTTTTTAAATAATTAATTTTTTTAAATGTTGAATTTAAAAATTATTTATCAATTTATTTGTTACATTTGACTACATTTTATTATTTGACAGATATTAAATAATTGTTTTAAATATGTCTGTTTGTATATCCATTTGAAAAGTGATTTATTCATTTATTTACATTTTTATTTTTCATTAATACATTGAACAATCTAGGTAAATGTAGCAGTAAAATAATAACAGTAAATAAAATGAACAGACATATTTAAAATGGTTTATTTAAAAACATAAAAAGTTATTTGGAAATGTTTTATATTTTTAAATGTTGCATTTCAAAATTATTTATCAATTTATATATTCTTAAATTATCTACGTTACATTTTTAAACATGAATTTAAAAAAGTTTTAAATATGTCTGTTTATTTGTCAGTTAAAAAAGGATTTATTTACATTTATATTTTTTAATTATTACACTGATACATTGATTTGTGTCAAATTAAATATGATGTCTATAATGATAATCAAGGTCTATAGTTATGCTAATAGCATCATGCAGATAAAAACGGCAAGCAAATTCACACTATGCTTCTGTGCTCTGGTTTATAGTGCCCAAAGATGGCAGTTGGACGACACCTGGAAGAGAGCACAAAGTCCCACCTGACCATGATGTGTAATCTGGTGGGACGGCAGCGGCAGGAAATCATGGAGCTGAGACGTGAAATGGAAGAGCTGTCGGTGAGTCACGACGGCGTTCTCATCTGGAAACTGACCGACTACTCGCGCAAGCTGCAGGAGGCGAAACTCCGCAACAACCACGAGTTCTTCAGCCCACCCTTCTACACGCACCGCTACGGCTACAAGCTCCAGGTGTCCGCCTTCCTGAATGGCAACGGCAGCGGCGAAGGCTCGCATCTGTCCATCTACATCCGCGTGCTGCCCGGCGAGTATGACAGCCTGCTGGAGTGGCCCTTCTCCTACAAGGTCACCTTCTCCATTTTGGACCAGAGCGACCCGTCGCTGTCCAAACCTCAGCATATCACGGAGACCTTCAACCCTGATCCCAACTGGAAGAACTTCCAGAAACCGTGCAGCAGCCGAAACTCGCTGGACGAGAGCACGCTGGGCTTCGGCTACCCCAAGTTCATCTCGCACGAGGAGATCAAGAAGAGGAACTACATTCGCGACAACTCCATCTTCCTCAAAGCTTCCATAGAGATCCTGCAAAAAATCATGGCCTGAGGCTGTTCGAGTGAAGATTTGTCTTGACGTACGTCTTTGTGGACCCTTCTCACTGTCAGAAACTCTGCCAAAAGACTCAGAGCTCGTCTGTCTGGCTATTCAACTGGGGTCCGTATCTCCACGTAGAAGTGTTTCGCAGTCATCACTTTTGGATTTGCTTTCCAACACTCTCTTCCTCAATCTACAGCAATGCCTTTGGACATTCAGTAGTGCCTAGAACATTTACTTTAATTTAAATGTTATTTTTAAAGCGTGATTTATGTTATTTCTCTCACAGATGTCAAGTAAACGATTGAAGCGGATTGTGAAAGGCTATTCGTAAGCTTTGCAGTTTGAGAATGTTCTTCGGAGCTCTGCGATACGACGGCAGGCATTCGGCGTACATACACTAACCCTCTTTTTACCCTTTTGTGTACACATTTTCGCCCAGCATCGGTCCTTGAAAAGAAACTCAACAGAACTTTTTCCAGTTTAACTCGTTTAACGTAAACTAACTACAACGGCTGTGAACTAAATGTAGCTTAACTCACTCTAGCGGTTCGAGACTTGTTTGGTGCATTGTAGTACTTGATAAGTTATATTTTTCAACATTAGGACCGATTCCGAGGTGCTAAAGCTTTTTTGTTACTGTGCGATGGAAAACGAGATGTTTTTGAAGCTCATGCACTCCGGTTCGGATCGAAAGCCATGCGAGAGGTTGTTTACATTCAATCTGTGGGTGTTGGTGAGGATCTACGCCGCCGACCAGTTTTTTGTACTGTAACCTGTATTCTTAACCAGCGTGTGAGGGCTTGTTTTGTTGAGACGGACGGACGAGCGAAAGGAACCAAATTTTTTTAATATGTGAAAAAATAAATGTGAGCTACCTGTTTGTGTCATAAACGGAGGGTGATTTCGAATGTGAACTCTGGACTCATGCTCAGTTGGTTCTTTCTGTTATTTGTCTTACTCTGGCAGATGATGAATAGAAAGGTGCGGGCACTTGCGACGGCCGCCCTAAAGCGCGTCGAGTGCGAGGGCGTCGTATATGAGCGGCGCTGGTAGCCATGGTTACCCATGCCTGTTTGAGCAGCATGTGAACGAGAAGAGAGTTCTTCCATGTGCCTGAGGAAGATGAGCCTTGTGCAATATGGCTGCCATTGCTCCATACAGACCAGTGGAGGACTTTGTTGATACTTATTATATATGTGAATACTAATAAAATAAATGCAAAAGCACATTCTTCTTCACATTAATCTTGCAACAATACCAGCTAATATTTTGCAATGATTTTAAGAAAACATGGAAAAATTAAAAAAAAGACATTTTTTGCTAAGATTCTGTATTTTACAAAGTACTTCAGATGTTTTCTACAAGACTTTTTGGCGATAAGTTTCGGGGGGCTGTATGTTGAAGTTTTATGGACCCTTTTTATGTTTCACCTCTGTGGCATTTGCCCGGTCGTTTTGTTTTTGTCTGGTTTGGATTTTGCATATTATGTCTGTATTATTTCCTCTTGAGAAGTATTTATTTTAAAGCGCCATGACATAAGCTTGACAAGAAATGGTGCAGATGTTTTTATATGTTGATCTGATGATTGCTTGCCGAAATTCACTTGAAATAAAACAATGTCTACAAGATCTGGTGTCGTCTCTCACGTCTCAAAGTTTACATGGTCCGCAGTCGCAAATGTTTACCAATCCCGCAAGAACCGCCCAGAAGACCAGCAACACAAAGCTTTTGTAGAAGAAACAAACCACAGCTGACTGAAGAATAGCATATCCTCCAATTTAGTCTCAAATAACTTCTTGTGAAACGTTAGCGTCCATAGTGTAGGATAAAATAAAATGATGTGCAGACAATGTTTCCACGGTTGTGGAAGATTTGGGGAATAACAGGGAGGTGAGTCTGGAAAAGTAATTTCTATTGTGAATATTCATTTTCTAGTTGCAGTTCGCTTGAAAATATTGCATCAGCTGCTCTATTTGAGTGCAATCTCTATGAAATGATTTTTAAAAATCTGATCACAAACAGCTGGAAAGGTTATGGAAATGTGTTGGTGAAAAGGTGTGTAAAGGGCTTTACGGCTACAGTTTGGCTGAAATGTCTCACAATGTCACCGTACTTATAAGCATCCGTGACGAGTGCCAAGTCTGCACAAGTTTTTTTATGGCTTTGTTTTACAACAAAAAGTGAAAGGGGGCTGGATCTCATTACTACGCTCACATCGCTGCTCCATGTGCTGATCTCCCCCTGAGATGAAGGGGGAGGAAGTGAAGCAGACACATGCTCAACTTTGATGTTGTGCCAGAGGTTTCCTCTGGACTCTGTATGGGTGTATGGGAGTTTTTTGAAAAAAGAAGGCATATAAAGGCTTCTCAATTCCCCCAGAGGAGAAAAGCTGTTCAATTTATTAGTAAGACCAAATCACTTGAAAAACTATCGAGACTTTTTGTTTGTTTGAAATTTGTGGAAGGGCAAATGTCATGGCTTCACTATTGTTCAAAAATTTAGCATCAGACTTTTTAAAAGAAATTAATATTTAAATCAAAAGTTAAGGTAAAGATATTAATAATGTCTTTACAAGAGACTTTTCAAATAAATGCTGTTCATTTGAATCTTCTATTCATCAAAGAATCATGAAAAAATCGTGAATTATGAAATCTATTTTCCACAAAACTATTAGGCAGCACAACGTTGATAATAATACGATTTATTTTTCCTAAACAGCAAATCAGCATATTAGAATGATTTCTGAAGGATTATGTGACACTGAAGACTGGAGTAATGATGCTGAAAATTCAGCTATACGATCACAGGAATAAATCACTATTTCAAATATATTAAAATAGAAAACACTTAAAAAATAAAAATAAATAAAAAAGCAATTACATTTTGCATAAAGAAATTGAATTACTGCATTACAGCAATTAAAATCAAATCAGAATCTCAACTAAGAAACATGGGAATTAAAAAAAAATCCAGTTACCTCAACGTAACAAGAATTTGAGTGAAAATGTACTTTTATTTTAATGGTCATGTAAAATAGACTTCATTTTCTTTATGCAAAATGTATTATTTTTTTTGCTATTTATACCTATATGATTTTTTTTTAATTTAATTATATAATGTATAATGTCAGATAAACATATATAATAATCTTCTAATTCCGTGATGAAATATGACTTGTATGTATTGTAGATGTGAATATGGGGATTTCTAATATATAAACTTTGTGATATGGGAAATCATATTTACATATTTTATCACATTATACTAAATGAAAGAGTGGCTTTGAGAGCGTTCTGAGTAAGTTTCTCCAGCCGTATCGTTTTCCACCGCCGGGCTGAACACAGAGTTATTTAAAGTTAACTGCAAGAACCCAAAGCCATACTGATGGCCCCTAAGTTTCCTGGCACAGGGAATTCAAACAGTAGCTCCTCTAGGGCAGAGCTCTGTGAACATAGTAACATCTAATTACACATTAGCTCATAAATGTTTCTCATTCGGAGTGGAAAAGTCACGGGCGATGCAGACCCCAGCTACAGCTCAGCCGTCTCGTGGCTCACTGATGAAATATGTCAACAATAAAGCCTGTCTCTCAAATTCTGTTTGTGTTTTCCTACTGTAGATGAGGCCCTCAGCAAACTCCTTCACATAATGTCACTGTGTGATGTGTGTTAGCTTGAATGAGTGCTGTGGAGAGGATAGGATGGGATGCCTGTTTACTGACTCACTAATGAAGGGTATTTTAATGAAAAATATTCTAAAGACCTGAATTTAACAGTTTAACTCTTCTGTTGTGATGCAGTAAACTGGAAAACATTAATTTAGCATATAAGCTAATAAAAGACTGTCTTTAAAATTTCTTGCAGTAAGATGGTTGGTTGATCATGTTTTTAAAGGGCCACCAATCAAATAGCTAAATAAATGGGCATGAAATATTTATTTGAGACACCATTGTAAAGTTCAAATAATAAAAAAATCTAAATATTAGATGAAAAATGTTGTCTTGGCAACTAAATGAAAAAATAATTTGAAGTAGCCTACTAAACAAAAACTGAAATAAAAATACATTAAATCTAAATAGAAATATTTAAAAAACATACACAATTGCAAAAGCACAAAATAAAATGACTAAAATATAAATATCACAGATAATTCAAGATATTAATAAATACTATAATGCTGTAAATAATTCTTAAAACAACTGTATGTAGCTTTGTGTATTTTTGCGACTTTAGAGCCCCCTACAGTTAAGTGGGTGGAATGCACTGTCGTAAATATATCACTGCTGTTATTTATTTATTTATTTGGGGGGGTATATTTAGGAAGCTGTCATATTGATATGTTTTGCTCCTTTTCACAGGACAAATTACAGGTGATCTCCCTTTCAGTACAATCACTGGAACAGCAACAGATGCAACTGCATTTATACATCTTTGAAGAAAATGTGAATGGTGCATGTCTGTGGAACGTCATAATACATGTTCTGCATGGTTGCCAGGGTGTTGTTAAGTGGATGCACATTGCAGTGTTTTTAGCACATTGCTATGCAGTTTCAAGGGGGTTAATTATAGTGGATGCAAGGGTGTTATTGATAGTTGCTAGATGGTTGATGGGAGGTTGACCTGATGGATAACATCTAATATAATGCGCTCTATTCATCTCGGTAACAGTAATGTTTTTATTGGACAGACTGTGTAATATGTAAATTAAGCGTATCATTGGAGTTTCATCTGCTTCCAGCGTGTTTTCAGAAGGGTCAGGGTTTGGCACTGTCCTTGGATGCTAAAATGCTTTGAAATAGAAGTTCAAAGGATGTTCAAATCAAAGTTGACGTCCTGTAGTGTGACAATAGCAGGGGGTCAAGAGCTCTTTCGATTTCAGTTTCCCTTTCTCCAACTCTTTCTCTCCTTCGCTCAATCTATCTTTTTTCTCTTTCACCAACAGTGCCAGTATTTAACATGCACATGAGAGTTTCCACTACCTCACAAATAAACACGCTCTGATGGAGGTGTGTTTCTAGTTTCTAGGTGCTTTATTCA